TAAATGTTATTAACCTTTATTTATTATCATATTTAACTTTTTTTCATCACATTTTTACTTTTAATATTTCATTAATTAGAAAATTTTGTCTTTAAGCATGATTTTTGTTAAAAAATAATGTTAACGTGTTTAAAAATGAAGGTCAAATATCTAGTCTCATTTTTGTAGTGTGTGTATTAATTTGATAATAAGAATGCGATAAAAATGTTTGAGACGTAAATATGATAATATGTAAAAATTATGAACATTTTAAACAATTAAATTGTAGTTTGGTTATTAAAAATTGTGGTGGGAATATATTGTCTTTTAGTATTTCTAAAATTTACTTTTGTTGATTCGTTTATTTATCTTTAAATGCCAAAAATGTATTTCTATATCACAATTGTAAGTAAAAAAAACAACCATGAAGCCCCCCGGGGGCGTAGATCAGTGGTGCAAAGGACATAAGTGAGATAGTTTCAATGGAGCTGGCAGCCGCAGTGTAAGAGTTCGATTCCTACCTCTTACAAGGTATGGACTTAGACTTTTTGTGGACACCAATATGACAGCTCTTGTACTCTGACCAACTAAGGCACATTCCACGATTTACCTCCTCTACAATACTTTAGGGGCGGGATGGGACCCTCAAGGTTGGGATTCAACCTTTTAAAAAAACAACCATGAAAATATAAAAATGAACAATAGTCGTACACAGATAATACTCGCCCTATGTTTATGGTTGTCTATAGTGTTAAAGAGTATGGATTATTTAAGTGTTAAATCTTATCATTTCGTTCCACGATCTCACTCTTTGATGTCGCAAGCCGACTCACCATGTTTTCACTTAGGGTCGGCCTTGAGAATGTTGAGACCCTAGGCGACTAATAATTAGGAAGTTCTTATATATAATTTTTTTTTTAACAAGCATATCAATTCTTGAATATTTAAGTAACCTAACATATTTATACTTAAACGAAAATTTTGAACAATTCAAAAGATGGAGTATAAAAAATAAAACATTTCTCATAACTTGAGAGATTAGACTATTATAATATTTAGCATTCTCACATTTTGATATGAAAAATTAACGGTCGAATTCAAATCAAAATTTTCAACATATTTTTTCGACAGAAATCACAACTAATCCTTCAAGACCTTAAGTTTTTTTGTGTGTGAATATATACGAACTTTATACCTCTACTTTTCTTACTTGATCGATTAAAAACTTGAGCTACTAGAAATAGTTCTAACTTCTATGGTTAAGAAAACTTAAGTAAATTAATATATTATATCCTAACAAATCAAACTTTAAGAAATTAGCGGTTGAACATGTCATCAAAGACAGAACTTCTATGTGCACGCACTTGAGAAAAAAACTTGTTAATGCATCAAGCCTTTATTGGAAAAAATAATATATTGTAATAAATAAATTATCTAGGAATTTAATTTTTCAGACAAAATTATCCATATATCACGTTTTAGTGTAACTGCCCAAAGTCGAGATTCATGGCCGCTCCAACTGTGTACCATTCATTTAAAATATGTGTAACTCACTAAAAATGGCTATAAAATTTCAGTCTTCATGAATGCACACTCCATGCTTTTGTTTTCTTTGTTAATTTCAGATTTTACTAATTTGTAATCTGAATTCTGATTAATTCAATTGGCTACAAATGGTAGTGAGATGACAGTTCAAAAGGCATCAGAGATTATTTGCCTCTTTCGGCGTTACTTTTTGCAGAAAAGTTGCGGCCTTTTGGTTTTTTCTTGAGGCCCCTTAAATGTTGAGGCCTAGACCATTGCCTAAATGGCTTTGGTCCTGGGGAAGAGCCTGTTTCCACTTAATTTGGCGAGGGGTAAATTAGGCCTACTACTCTTTTAAATTGACTAAACTGAATAATAACCTTTTTAAAATAATTAAACCAATTAGCACATAATTAATACGTCCTAAAAGGACAAACCCAATGGTCTTGAAGTCGAGATTCTGACCATATCGTGCAGAGTTCTTCTCAAACTTCCATTGATCAGCATCAAGAATCTCCTCATGATGTGATGCCAATTGTCTCTGAAAAGAGTTGGAGGTTTCGAATCTTTGAGTTTTATAAAGATTATACAGAAAGTTTGTACAGTAACCTTTTTCGCAAAAAAATGATGTTATTATGGCTGGGGTGTTTGAAAGTGGTGGGGTTTGCAATTAAGATTGTAGAGATGGTGGAAACAATGGTCTGTGGGTAGGGGATGTTGCTCTTGGATTCAGTTGATGCAGTCAAGGTGTTTGTAAAAATGAGAATGTGAAAAGTGATATTGTCACTTTTTTCCTGAAAAAGTCGCAGTATCTTATAAAGTAATTAACTAAATATATAAGTGTGTGTTTTTGAAAATTTAAATATATGAATTCAAACTTTGGTTTAGTCTTGCATTCAATTTATAATT